ATAGTGGGTCTTAACAGGGCGGTTAGGAAGAGCCCAGAAAGGCAAAACCACACACACGAAATACAAATAATACATAAAAAAAAAAAAAAAAAAAAAAACAGACCCAGAGAGATACTTTCCAAATGGGAAGGCAAATATTTAAAGGAACCATAGGGAGCTGTGGCTTAACAAGGAATTTTTAACAGTGTCATTTTGTTTGAGGCAATAAAAAGCCTCAGATCTCTCCTGCTATCGTGTTGCTTGCCTTCAGAGCTGCATGTTCACCTCTTGCTGTTACCTTCTCCCAATATATTTATCTAAGATAAATTAGGGTTCTGCCACATCCAAAGCAACAAGAGAGTCCAGAAGCGTATTTGAAAGATAGCATCTGCTTCAGAGCCTGTGGATGTGGATAAGATCAGGCCTAAAGCTTGACCAAACTTAGGCTAAGAGGAAGGGCCCGGCGTCCGGAAGATCTCGCGATGTAACGGAAAGCGCAGGTGGCAGCTGAGTAAGAGTGACTGCTTAATCATACCGTGGCAGCTGAGTAAGAGTGACTGCTTAACCATACCGCTTAACTATACATAGAATAGGCGCAGCTGCTTTTCCTTATTAGGTATAAATATCGCTTATTGGTGGCAAAGCAAGCTTCCGCATTCGAAAAGAGTATAACTGTAGTAAGCAGCAAGGAATAAACGGCACTCCAACCATATTGGTGTTACGTGGTTTGTCCCCTCGCGGGGTAGGATGGCCCTGGAGAGTCCGACCTCCAGGTGTACACGCTACGTTGCCGAGAGCTGAGACCGGAGCCCGCTGCGTGCCGAGGGCCGAAAGTCGGAGCCCACTGCGTTGCTGGGAGCCGAGACTGGAGGCAGTGGATGGCCGGGGGGACGGCGGATGGCCGGAGACAGCGAACGGCAACAAGAGCCAAATACCAATTCATCTCCAAGAGTGAGAGATTGGAAAAGTACTATTTAAGTAAAAGATGGGTTCTCACAAGAATGGCAGATACACAAATGCCAACACGATTATTAAAACTACAAACTGCATGTTAAACTAACCCCCAAATGGAAGGAAATGGGGAGAGAGAGAGAGGGCAGCGAGAAGAGGCACCCACTAACTTATCAGAAATTACATTTACAGATTGTCCCTCCATTTCTGCAGGCAGTTATTGCAGACCATGCACCAGCTGTGTCTCACCCCAGTTTTCACACCAGACGCATACTCCTCGCAACAATTTCGGATCAGACTATGTGACCTCAATTTTCATTAGGTAAACTGCCAGCAATTTCACTTGTTTAGCGCCTTGGTTTATTGCACAGCTCTGGATGCCATGAGAATAGAAAATAAAATGGCAGGTGTGAGTGGCAATGGGCAGGGCCAAACTTTCTGTGGTCCATTCATCCTTAATCAGCCATCTCTGTCCAAATAATTTAAGAAACACCATTGGTTGCTTGCAACAGTAGCGAGGGACAAGATATGCATTGTAGCCCACCACATTCAGAGCTTTCCACTTCCTTCCACCACAGGGGCATTTGAAAAACGCTATCATGGTCACAATATCAACCTCCTTAAGCACAACCAACTCAAACATTGACCTCTCAAAAAAAAAAAAAAAGGCTATGTCCTTTAGAGGTATCAAGAGAGCTAGAACTAGGTTATCTCTTGGTCTTGCCATGGTGAAGGGATATGCTGTTCACAGGAGGGGGGAGGACGTACAGCCCAGAAAAGTGGTCCCCAAAAAGAAGCCAAGAAAGGTCACCTGGAAACCTAGAGACCGAGTTCAAGGTCTGGGTTCACCTGACATGGGGGAAGCCATTTCATCTATTCCTCAACTTCTGCCACGAAAAAAGTATCATCCTAAGTATCATCTTTTCTAATAAGTAAGTAGATTATCAGTGAGGTGCTGATACTACAACAAGGAGATCATACGCACCTGAGATGGGCAGAACAAGTCCGGAAAGTCACCCATAGCTCTCCGATTGCCTCTGCTGTCAGGACCCACATCCTTGCCCAGGCAGGCAAAAGCCACCCCTTGCTAGCAGCGGTCTCTAAAGGACAGCTGTCAGACAAGTCACATCTCCCCTCCACAGAAATAGTAGTTTATTTATCATTAATATTCATTAAACAACTAGAAGAGATCCAGTGGGTAAGCAACAAAAACACAAGTGATGATGCCTATAAAAATCATCAAATACAGTACACACACGGTGTCCTCCACTTCACTTCCAGCAGGTCCACAGAAGAAAAGGTTTTCCAGCAAATCTCTGCCAGACTCTATGCAAGGGGCCGCCTCTTCCTCTAGTGTCCGTATAGCCAGAGCACATTATGTACAGCAGTGCCCACGCATGAGGCACAGCGCATTAACGTCAAAAGCTTTTCCAAGATGTTTTCAGGTGCAAGGGGGAAGCGATAATCACTGGTGATTCTTTGAATCATTCATGTTGAATGTAGGTCCTGTTCTGCAGCGTCCCCTAAACACAACATGCTGATAGGAAGCTAATGAACTCATGCTGATGAATGCCCTTTGCTTACCATGTTTCCAAAGATAGGTATTACTGAGGCAGAACCACCTGATTTATTCAGAGACATGTTTTGACTTGGGTTGTATGCATATTTAGGGGAAGAAATGCTGATAAATGTAAGTAACTATCCTTGCAGACGTAGCCAGCAACAGGGAGTTAGCATTTCAGATGGTCCCCACAAACATATCTGCCTTCATTACCTGCATCTCAGTCACTGTCTCCAACTCAGAATGATTTCATTACCCATCTCGCCAACAGAGCGATCCCTTGCTGTTAGGAGTGGCCATGGGGCCCGGGGTAACAGGCTCAGGAAACTGGCCCAAAGAGTCAAAGCCAGGAAGGCAATGGCTGTCTGAACTATTAGCTCTAGAGCAGGCAGACGAAGCTCAAAAACAGTGTGTTTCTTAGAAGCCATTTAGAGCAATCATGGGGGTGGGGGCAAATTCTTAATTCTCCCTGGCCTTTTTATACACATATTTGAAATTCTGCAGTTTTCAAAGGCATCTCAAATGCCCAGCAACTGTAGAAAACATTGCAGTATTTTCAGAAGAAATAATTCCTGGGGCCACGACCAGCACAACATCTCATCTCACCAAGACATGAGATCAAGAAGCAGTGACATGAGAACGCAACTCTATGCCTTGTTGCTATTTTATTACAGAATTTAAAATTATTCATCACTGTTAAGTATTTCATATCCTAAGAACATGCACGCCAGCATGACAGAGTAACATGCATAGACTTTTGCTATGGGCCGTGTTTCGGATGGATTTGTGCTCTGTGAGGTAGAAAATGGGCCACTTAGTGCAACATAGGGGCACATCAGAGACCCAACAGCACAACTGGTGTTGGGCTCTGTTTATTCTACATTGAAAGCCTCCCTTCTAAAGCATTTACTTCTTTCATTTTTTTTCTGAAACACAGCTGAGAGGCAGATAGGCCACATTCCTTCCCCCTCCTAGGACCAAGGCACGTCTGGGAAAACTCTTGCTGACAAGTTACCTGGAAAGATCATTGCCCTGAGCAATCTTTTTGCTCCTCCCAGGCCAGTGTAGGAGAGGACATTAACTGTGCTAGAATATGGTCTCCAGTAAGAAATATTCCTGAAAAAAAAATTATTCCAGTAAAAAATATTTAGCCATTACGTATTTGCCATTTGAGCACCCACAGATCCAATGTAGGTAAAATTCCCTTCTTCATTCCAGTTAGCACAATATTTACCTTGCTATTCTAGGCTGTGGAGGCACACTTCAAGGACACTAGTACAGGACGCCTTGTTAGTAGATAACCACCCTCAAGGACAGCAGTGCAGGTGTTCTACTAGCAAACAAGGAGCAAAAGCAACTGTACAGCTGCTGTGTGACCAAGAAGCTGATCGGATAGCCTTGATGCTCTCCCTTAGATTATTGGCTTATTTAGCAACCACAATTCGCGTGCTTATAGGCAAATAAGGTATTGTATCCAGGACAGTATGGTATATAAGCTTTATCTGATGCTCAATAAAGTGTCTTTGGCTCATTATACCAGAGGCCCTGCTCTCAATACGCCAACTAGGCAAAGTACACACCAAGCATTTAGTTTCTACAAGGTGCAATATAAGTGAAAAGTACAAATGAAATGACAGACATGTAATTCTCTAAAAGCATTATACTGCAACAAAATTACACTAAATAAATGGGAATCAACAAAGCACTCCAGTCCTCCCTCTAACAACTCAGAAGTAGCAGTCAGGCATGTGCTCCGAGTCGAGCATTGATCCGTGTGAGACTGCTGGGTCTTCGTGCAGCTAAAGTCACCAGAGGGCTCCCACCATGAAGCAAGTGTTGAAACGTGTCAGCAGCCACTGCTGGCCTCCCAGAGCACCTGGCAAGCTGCAGCTCCTGGAGGTGCTCACAGGCCCCTTCTGGCTCTTCCAGAAGGAGCCAGCCAGCCATCAGACTCCCTGTTGTTTTGTCTTCAGGGAATCACACGGTAGAGCAATGATTTTTTGGATGAAAGCCAGAGAGGACAAAATGCTAACATCCATGTGAAATCTATAATCTCATGCTGTGTTGAACTCACTGGCTGCCCTTACCACACTTACGTTTTGCAAAAATTACTTACTAGAGAATGTGGATTTTGTTGGATTGCATCTACGGGAAACATACAAAATAGAATTAAAAGCAATAAAAGAGCTCATAAGTAGCAAATATACAGCCTATTTTGCACTCTTACTGAAGGGATAATATAAATGTTTCACGTCAAATATATAACAGTGCCAGAAGTGAAATGGACACTGGCGTTACACAAGCACTACCGGTGACCAACCTGAAATTAGTGTTAAAACACTATAGTACAGTGTGAGGATTGCTGAGTGAAAACATATAATTAGGACACTTCCATGCAAGAGAGTACAGTATAAATCTTTTTTTTTTTCATCAGTTTAAAACAGCTCAACCCTGCAGAGAATTTGCTCTCTAGCCCCAGTTAAAATATACACAGGTAATGGTGACATTTGTATTACATCCTGAAAATCCCAAATTCTGTCTTCTTAGTAGGTGCATTAAGCGCTGCGCTGAGACTGAGGCCCAAAACCAGACTTGTGTCAGGCAGATCAATAATTCCATCATCCCACAATCTAGGAAAAAATAACGATAATAGAGGGAAATTAATGTATACAGTTTACAGTAAGTAGGTTTTCAAGTACACAAAACTGACACCAGATATACTAAAGTAGGAGGACTAAAGAGGTAAATTCTGTGTCGAGCCCTGGGGTTAATTCCCCTTAACATTAACACAATGGTTTGATGTGCATCCTTTTACTTGTGTAATTTGTCTTCTAGAGCAAGGTATAAATTGACAAGCATTAACGTGCTAACATATCATAGGTTGCTAAGCCGTATCCAAGCGCCTAACCGCAAGATTTAAAAACAGCGTCTCAGTCCTAGGAACTTCCTCAAGTACAGGAGACACTTCCTTAAAAGTTGTTTACCGAAATTCAGTGATTCTGCATGTCAGCCTTTTCAGTCCAGGTTAAGGACGGTCAAAGGCACCCCCCTGTACAATGTCCCCCTACAATAAATACTGAATAAAGGGACTATGTCAAATTGCAGATTTTAAATTAGAATTTTCACACTTATTTTAGTATTAAGTTGTTATGAAAAGAGAACTTGGTTATTTTTTAATGTTCCAATGGAAAACAACTTTTTGTTAAGGAATTACCCTCTTTTATTAAGAATGCTGGAAATTTAGGACTAAGTCACATCATTATTTATGTGATTGAGACTCTTTCAGTTGTCAAATTAGGATGTTTCAAGCTTAAAAGCAATTTGTGCTTTTATCATTAAGGAGTTAGGAGTAAATTTTTATATATTTCCAATGTAATTATTTCCAGTCACATATTTATTTCTTCTGAAGTCAATTTCTAAACTATATAAGCTAATGCCCTCCCTAGTACAGCCCTGAAGGCAATTAAAGGATGAAGGAATGTCTGAGCAAATACCAAATTCTCAAATCCTCCAACTCATGATCACTTGCAAACAGCCTCTTTGATATTATCCCAAAATTAAAGTACTTGTGGCAGATATATCCTTCAGCTCTATCCTACTCAAAACAAAACCTGTATTAAAACTCCCAGCAGTCCACAAAATTGTTCATATTGTGTATCTATTACATCCCTGGTACTTATTAATACAGCAATATTTAAACAGGACACTACACATCGTTACAACTCAAGCCTTGTTAAATCAGCATACATTTTAAGCAGGGTCTGCAAGAACCTAAACGCAGTATCTGCAGTTAAGACAGCGATTCTACTCCCTCACCCCAGCTTTCCCTCATGAGACTCGTGTAGTGCTCTTCTCTGAACTCATTGCAGTGTTGTCATGTCTAATGGTTTATTCAGTGTCTGTAAACAGCTGCTCTGCTTTAACAAGTGTGGTTTAAAACTATGAGAAAGGATCATGAATAGGAAGGAAACACTGAATTTTATCAACAGAAAGCTTAACAATTCCTAACTAAAGTCTCCAGTTGCCAATAAAATAAAAGCTTGATTAAGATGTTTCACGCCGGAAGAGCTATGGCACATGCTGACCCGGCTGACAGGAGCCTGCCAGGACATAATAGCCAAAGGAGCAAATTTAACTTGGTTTTACTGAGACTTTTCTCAGTCAGGTCAATAGGTTTGAGTCTCTCAGGCCCCAAGACAGTGGTTATAACTATTCGCATTGTCTAACACGATAAAATGATGCAACATTTCCTACACTTGTAACATTATGAAATAAGCATTACCAAATATTTTATGCGTAAGCTTTTCCACTCCTTTTCCTTGTATTTAAAGTTGAATTTTGATAAATTTAGTCAGATTAATCAGGGGGAGGGAGAGAGAAGAACCCTGTGAATAAGGCCAGTCAGCAAAGCAGTTTTGCAAGGTCAGATCAACCACCAACCCTTTGTCTTTTTAGGACTGTAAAAATATTTGACTGCAAGAAGCGTCACAAATACAGTGACTTCTTTTTTAAAGCACATTTAATCTTTTTGACTGTTACAGGCTTGCTCGATCTGCCATATTTGTGATGAACTTTGTTATTTATGAAAAACGCCAGAACTGAATGAAGTACCTCATATTTTGTGAAAGTGTTTAATAGATCTGTTAGCAGAGCCTGGGGAGTGCAGGGATAAACAGAATTAAATAATAATCACCATCTCAGTGTGGTACTTGCCAAGTTGCAATTTTACAGTGACTGCCATCCTAATAAACACATTTCCAAACATGAAACACATTTTTATGACAAACTTGTTTTCTGTAACCACAGTTAGTGAACTTTTGCTGACATCTATAAAGATCCGACACTGCATAACAGAGAAGCTGCTTTCATACAGTCACCCCTGGCTTCTGCTTCTCTTTCTTTAAAGAAAACTACTTTCTCTGTTGGAATGTAACATTAATAATTAAACTATCTATTAAAACACCACTGCTAGAACATGAATCACATCTACACTCATAAAACATTCATAACAGAGATGCTGTGAGTAAAAGAAATGCTCAGCCCCCCCCAAAGTTAAATGCTCATGCAATTTGTCATGATGTACACTGACTAAACTCCTCTTGGAAACCTGTAAGCAGATTAATATAGCTCATTAAGAAGGGTGCTGCCTAACGACTCTTGTTAATTAAGAATGCTCAGTATGAAAGGCTCTAATCAGGTAACTGATTGAAGTTCGATTAGAAAATACAACTATGGAGAGCAGCATTGACATCCTGTACATATAACAAGTTATAATTTGCAAGCAAAATTACATATGCAGAGCAAATAAGGAAATTTGCTTTTGTTTTATGATCATTAAGGCATCTTGCTCCCCTTTCACTATTTCTGCTCAAAGCTTGATCCAAACCCTAATGAAGCCAACTGGAAGGGTCACATCAATTTCCATGGTCATTCTGAGTGAGACCTCATCCCTTGGTAAGGAAAGAGCATCAGTGAGTTTCACAATTACCTGTTCTTGAGAGGTAATAAGGAAAGCAGGCCTCATCCCTGCCCACTGTCCTTTTCTCTCAGGAATATCGAGCTGTTTGCCAAAGTTTGGTGCTGCTCTTTTGGGGGAGGGACGTAGAAAGCCAAGTCTGCTAGAATTCCATTTCAGTGCCGTGCTCTGATGTTTGGGAGACGGCCGACTGTTAGCTGGGACGTACTTGGAACCAGAAAGGAAGTCTCCCTTAGAGCAAAGGAAGCAGGTTACGTTCTCTCCCTCAGCCACTGAGAGTGCTGGCCAATAAGCACCTGCTGATGTTGGCTCACAAATGGGCCGGCTCCAAGGTACAGGTGGTTGAATCCCTCCGGCTAAGACTGCAGGGGGATTTCATGTCATTGGGGGTTGTTTCTCATTTGGCAGCTACTCCACAGTTTTCATTACTTTCATCACCATTTGAGCTTTTGATCTGAGATCTCGTTTAGGATCTAGCAACAAATGAAAGCACAAGGCACATGCATGACAGGAAGGCAGAAAATCAGGGCAGAGGAAACAATATCTACCAATAAGCCCATCTGTTTTTACAAAGAGCAATTTAGACGAGGCAGACTACAGGTGCCCAGGTGGTGTTCTCCTCCATTCTGCCAACGAGGGGAATGGACTCAAGGAGGAGAAGGCGGATATGGCAGCTTAACAACTGGCTGCGCCGCTGGGCCTGGCAACAGGGTTTTGGCTTCTATGACCATGGGTCTCTGTTTGATGACCAACAGCTAGTGGGGAATGATGGGACTCATCTTAGCAAGAGGGGCACACATCTCTTTGCAAAAAGGCTGGCCAACCTGGTTAGGAGGGCTTTAAACTAGGCAAGAAGGGGGAAGGGGAGTGGCACACTGACACGGCAAGCAGTACCGCACACCCCAGGTCAGATGGCGCCCAGCGGGAGTATGGTAGTGGGGAAGTGAGGATAGGAAATGATCACAGAGGGTCCTCTTTCACCCCTCCTGGGAAACCTGTGGCCTCTGTTGCTTCCCTGAAATGCCTGTATACCAATGCGCGAAGCATGGGGAATAAGCAGGATGAACTGGAGATCTGTGTGCGGTCCCAGCGTCATGATCTCATCGGAATCACAGAGACGTGGTGGGATAGCTCGCACGACTGGAGCGCTGCCATGGAAGGCTATGTGCTCTTTAGGAAGGACAGGCTGGGAAGGCGAGGTGGTGGAGTTGCTCTTTATGTGAGAGAGCAACTGGAATGCATGGAGCTCAACCTGGGAGTCGAGGATGAGCAAGTTGAGAGCTTGTGGGTAAGGATTAGAGGGCAGGCTAATGTGGGAGACACTGTGGTGGGTGTCTGCTACAGGCCACCTGACCAAGACGAGGAGGTTGATGAGGCCTTCTATAGGCAGCTGGATGTTGCCTCACGGTCACAGGCCCTGGTACTCATGGGGGACTTCAACTACCCCGACATCAACTGGGAGGACAACACAGCCAGGCATAAGCAGTCCTGGAGGTTCCTGCAGAGCGTCGACGATAACTTTTTGACGCAGGTTGTGGAGGAGCCGACGAGGAGAGGTGGGCTACTGGACCTCGTGCTATCAAATAGGGAGGGCCTAGTAGGAGATGTTAAGGTGGGGGGTAGCCTCGGCTGCAGTGACCATGAGTTGGTGGAGTTCAGGATTCAACGAGGAGGAGGCAGGGCTGTAAGTAGCCTTGCGACGATGGACTTCAGGAGGGCCAACTTTAGCCTCTGCAGAGACCTCCTCGGTAGAATCCCATGGGCTAGTGCTCTAGAAGGCAGGGGGGCCCAAGAGAGCTGGTTAGTTTTCAAGCGGCACTTCCTCCACGTCCAGCAACAGTGCATCCCTGTGTGTAGGAAGGGAGGCAGAGGGGGCAGGCGACCTGCGTGGATGAGCCGGGAGCTTGTGGCAATGCTCAAGCAGAAGGCAGCGGTATACAGAATGTGGAAAAAAGGACAGGCCCCCTGGGAGAAATACAGGAACATAGTCAGGGAGTGCAGAGATGCGACAAGGAAAGCTAAGGCACGGCTGGAAGGCAAGCTGGCAAGGGACGTTAAAAATAACAAAAAAAAATTCTTCAAATACATTAACAGCAAAAGGAAGATCAGGGAAAACGTGGGTCCGCTGGAGGACGGGATGGGCACCTTGGTTACAAATAACACAGAAAAAGCAGAGTTGCTCAATGCCTTCTTTGCTTCGGTGTTTACCAAGGGCAGCCCTTTAGAGCCCCAGGCCCTAGAGGCAAGAGAAGAAGCGGGTGGAGAGGAAGACTTGCCCTGGGTAGAGGAAGATTGGGTCAGAGAGCACCTAAGGAACCTCGATACCCACAAATCCATGGGCCCTGATGGGATGCACCCCAGAGTGCTGCCGGGAGCTGGCAGATGCCATAGCTAAGCCGCTCTCCATCATCTTTGAAAGATCCTGGAGAACGGGGGAGGTGCCGGAAGACTGGAAGAAGGCCAATGTCACGCCAGTCTTCAAAAAAGGCAAGAAGGAGGACCCAGGCAACTACAGGCCAGTCAGCCTCACCTCCGTCCCCGGAAAAGTGATGGAACGGCTCATACTGGCTGTTGTCTCCAGGCACATGGAGGACAAGAAGGTGCTCAAGAGTAGTCAGCATGGATTCACCAAGGGAAAATCTTGCCTGACTAACCTGATAGCCTTCTATGATGAAATGACCGGCTGGATAGACGAGGGGAGAGCGGTGGATGTCGTCTATCTCGACTTCACCAAGGCTTTTGACACCGTCCCTCACAACATCCTCCTGGGCAAGCTCCGGAAGTGTGGGATAGATGAGTGGACAGTGAGATGGATTAGGAACTGGCTGGATGGCAGGGCCCAGAGAGTGGTGATCAGCGGTGCAGAGTCTAGTTGGAGGCCTGTGGCTAGTGGGGTCCCCCAGGGGTCAGTCCTTGGTCCAGTCCTGTTCAATTTATTCATCAATGACCTGGATGAAGGCACAGAGTGCTCCCTCAGCAAGTTTGCTGATGATACCAAACGGGGAGGAGTAGCTGATACCCCAGAGGGCTGCACTGCCATCCAGAGGGA